GCTGACAGGATCGCCGGGCCCCTCGGCAAGGTGGGAATGGCAGGTCCGTGTTTCTGGAAGGGGCGGGGCCTAGAACGGAAGGAGCAGGGCTGAGGCTGCCGACTCCCAACACTGCCTGCACATCCCTCCCCCACCCATCAGCCCTCACGGCGCTGGACTCCGGAGCATGCAATGCGGCGCTCCGGCAGTGCTTCTAAAGCGCCCAGCAGAAGATGGTGCCCGAGCCCTTTAGAATCCTGTAGGGCCTTGGGGCAGTTTTCCCCTTTCCCCCCACCTCACCCCCTCGAGCCCCCACCAGAAGGCCTGCATAATACATACACCAAAAGGGCTGACTTACAGCTGCATAGGCAACCTGATTTCTGGCATTTCCTAATTTTTGAGTCTTTGACTTTGCCATCACAATACTATTTTCGCATTGTGGGGAGGGAAGAGGGTAGCTCATACAATATAAACATAGAATGAACACAAATATAAACGATAGTGGCATCAACGAACCAGTTCCTAGCCATTCTTGAAGGCAGAGACATGGCCGCCAGTGACCTTTGGAGCCCTCGTCTAGCTCCAATCCAAGACCAGAGCGCTAGCCAGAGAGCTTACAGAAATAGGGGTCAGAGCCTCAGGTCCTTACACAAACAAAACTCCCGCTGACTTGAGTAAAACCTGAGGAAATATCTCGGGATCTGGCCCACCGACTACAGCACCTGACCCCAAGGTGTTCTGCAAAAGAAATAAAACCTCAGGGTTGTCAAGACACAGTTTCAGGGTGCATCAGCTGTACGCTGAGTATTACCACGGAAGGCAGGATACCGCAGCTTAACATAACCCTGCGGCCTGATGAGAGGGCAGGAAATGAATAAAAATGTCATTTCCTAAAATATTCACGCAAAGGAATTGCTCTGCAAGGGGAATATGGGTTTGCCATTCTCCAGATGGAAGAAGCATTGCTCTTGCTGGGAGCAGGGCACAACACACTCCACTAGAAGATTTTTGCTGTTATCGATAGGTGTCTATTTCTTGAGGTGCCCGTTATCACCCCTTCGGCAGAAACCCGATAGCCTTCCGCTCATTGCTATGCAACGGGCAAACGACTGGTTTAAAGTTAGCACCGGGGGGGGGGGACCGCTCCTCCCATTGGGGCCAAGGAGCTGGTCTCTCTGCCCCACAGTGAAATCAGCTCTCCTTGGAGCACCTGTTGCTCTGTTATTTCTTCCTTCAGGATTCCACCTCCATCTGGAATCTGCTCCCTCCAGCACATGCATAATTCTGGAACTTTCTCCCTCAGGCGGACCTCTGGAGCCCAAGCTGGATGAGTGCTAGGAAAATCCTACCTGTGAGGCTAGGGCTTTGCTAGGCTTCATGGCAGGAAATGCTGGGGCTTTAACTAGGGATTTTGCTATAATCTATTGTTCTCTAATTGATTTTGCTACAGTAGCACGTATAGGTACCTCGGCAATGCAGGTGAGCACAAGCTTCTGAATCAATAAGGTGCAGAAATAAATAAGAACGTGATTTATTTATCCAGGGATCCCGCTCCACCAACATGTCTCCCATTCCAAGCAGTTTATAATGAAATGTTAGCACGGCTTTTCAAAGCCGTCAGGAGAGACTACCAGCCCGATGCATGGGATGAGGCTGCCTGCTGTGAATATGGACAAGAAGGATATACGGATGATCTTTTGCTTGCCTGTCCAAAAAAAAAAATCCTTCATTAGGGCAGTTTTAATTCTAAAAACTGCAGTTTGCTCCTCAAATCTGCTACTTCTCTATTGATACTTCGGCAATGCAAGTGCATCTCACTGCATTACCTCCTGCTAGCCCCAAAGAGCACAAATCAGACAGGCAGCTGGAGTCTGCTCTTTCCTGCTTCTCAGCAACACAGTTGTCAGGTGCAAACATGTGGAAGGCAGTTGGTTGCACAGGTGTCACTGAAGTGCTCCTCTGAGGCGCATGAGTTGCACAGGTTTGGCCTGTAGTCAGCAGGGCCAACCATACCCATATGCAGAATACGTAGCTGCATGAAGCACCCAAAAATGTGGGGCGCTATTGGGTTTTGATGCCCACACCTGCCCCTTCTTATCCTTGTTCTGTGACTCTGCATTCTCTGGAGAGGATCTAGTTAAGACAGAAAAAGCATGCCAGAGCTATTAGCAGAAGTTACACTGGACCTGTGGAAGAGCCATGCAATGGTAATGAAGCCATTTAACTGACAGTGTATACCTGGGGTTAGCAAATGCTTGTTAAATGGCATGGGACTACTCATTGTTTTCAAAGTTACAGACTAACCCGACTACCCCTCTGAGATTTTTTTGCAAGGGACTGTTCAAGATGGAAGGCCATTCTGTGCACCGCCACGTCTACATCACAGCCATGTGAATCTGCTGCTGCTGGGGGAATACAACATTTAAAAGCCATTTAGAACCATGCTAAAAAGCTGCTTTGGTGTCCTACTAAAACAGTCTCCAGGGGCCAACTGAACAAAGATCGGTGTTCTCTGGATTAATCATTGAGGGGATGTCTAGACTATATGGCTCCGGCGACGGAGCCTTGTAGTTGAGTTTACTAGACATAGAAAAATGAACCTCGTGAAATGAGGTTTACCAGAGTGGTCGACAAAGGCTTCCCTTGTCAACCGCAGCACGTTCAGACTGCCCCGCTGTGCCGCCAAACAGCTGACTGGCACAGCGTGGCGGCCATTTTGATGTAAATGAAGTGGCGATAATTTAAATCGCCACTTCATTTTCCTATGTCTAGTAAACTCATCTACATGGCTCTGTTGATGGAGCCATGTAGTCTAGACATACCCAGAGTGATTAGGATTTTATATGGCTTCCCACAGATACAATTTTAGATAATTTTCAAGGCAACCCCACAATGCACAAAATAACGGCAACAAAGCCAGTGTTGGGGCAGTTCTTTCTCTCTTGGTTAGTACTTACAATGTAAGCTGTTTGGCACAGGAAGTGGTTTTGTTCTATTTTTGTACAGCACCTGGCACAATAGACGGTGACAGGAGTTCCTATGTGCTGTTGCAATACAGATAATAACAACTTCTAACGTAACAGGGCAATGTAAACTAGACTCACTGTCTAGTGCTTTGTCTTGTCTCCTGGGTCCATGCACGACAAGTACTTTGGAAATGGATCCTGAAGGGTCATGGTGATGACAGAATAACAAAATGCTTTCACACACTTTAAATCTCATTTCAGTTTAAGTAACGGAAAATGGCCTAAGTGGATGTTTTGCCTGGGGTTGTACCTGGATGGTAGCTCAGAAGGGGACAGGACAGTGAGGGGAAACAGAAAAGGGTGATCAGACAAGGAAGGGATGTGGTTCAATAGTGAAGGAGAACTGCAGAGACCAGGCCTGCATTTGACTGCTAGATTCCCAGGGTGCTGAAATCTCTCCCGCAGTGGGGTATGTTCTATTCCCATCCACTTGCACTTCTCAGACTGTCTTGATGAGGTAGCCATATTATGATGTTAATTTAAATTCTCTCCACCTCCTTTACATTTCCACACAGAAGTACAATTTACAGCATTCCTTGTATCATTGGCCCTCTCTCCCGGGCCAGAGGGTACGTCTACACTACAGCATTATTTCGAAATATCTAATTTCGAAATAGTTTTTTGAAATATCTTCTTTCGAAAGAACGTGTCTACACACAAAATGCATTTTGAAATAGCTTTTTGCTATTTCAAAAAAGCGTGTCCACACTGATTGGATGCTGAATCACATTTAAGGCCAGCCGAACTGATTCTGGCAGGGTATCAGGCGAGAAGTTACCTTGTGGCCAGGGCAGCCAGCAGGGCACCCTGGGAAGGGCTGGAGGCCCCCTATTTCGAAATAAGCGTCTACGCAGCACTATTTCGAAATAGAAATTTTGAAATTGGTGCTATTCCTTGTGGAATGAGGTATACCAATTTTGAAGTAAGGCAAAATTAATTTTGAAATAGCAGTTGGCTTGTGCAGACAATAGGAAAATTATTTCGAAATAACGGCTGTTATTTCAAAATAACTTTGCTGTGTAGACATACCCTGAGAGAAGATGAGGTCTCCCTTCCTTGGGAGATCTCTTGGCCTCAGCTTACCTTACTCTTCTCCCCTGGTACTCTCTTCTTGTGCCTTTTTATCAGTCCTCTGCTTACAGCTAATTAATCCTCTTGCACTGCCCAACCTGACAGCCTGATTAGATAATTGCATCCCAATGACCAATCAGACCACCCTGGGGTCTTCATTAGTGCTAGAGTGATCAGAGTGCTGGCTAACCTGCTAGCTCTCAGCACTGTCTCACTCCTATCACTGTTATTTTCACAAAGGCAAGGCGGATAGAACCAGAACAGCAAAACCAGGAACTCACCTCCATGTCTGAAGTTCAGATCTGGAGCCAAGTATGACGGCTTGGGGCCATCTCTATAGCGCGTGGAGATTTGGGGATCTAAACCTTGATCCAAATGCTCCAGCGCTGGCTCAGCTCAGCTCAAGAGGTAATTCCCCTAGTGTGCTGGCCATTGATTTCCTCCCACACTTAGTTCTTTGTGAATAGCACTGTGAAGAGAGTGAGAGAGAAAAAGGAAAATAGAAAGAGACACACAAGCATGTATTTCTCTGCTCTTTCGTCGCTTCATTCTATACGTCTTCCTACAGAGGCGACAAATGCGGCTGCTTTTCAATAGAGCAACCCTGCAAATTTGGCTCAGGGACACACTGAGAAAACAGCATTTCATAACTCTTCAACTCAGAAGGGGAAGTGTGTTTCATATGAATTCAAGACCCACTTTCCAAATGGTATCAGAGAAAAGCTTGTAGGTTTGTATGCATTTTTATTTATCAGTTCCAGATCAGGAGCCTGATGCTAATTTCTTTTAAAAGCTTCTGCAGTACATTTATATTCCAAAAACAAAGAAGGAGTCTGATGCTCTCTCTCCTCTTGCTGTGTGGGTTTATTTCCCCCTCCCTCTGGCTTTACTCTAAGGACCTTTGCTTCCAGCTCATTACATTCTCAAGATGAAGCCCCCGGAGGTTATAGTCGTGCTGATAGCCCTGGTACAAGTTTCTCAGAGTTTCCCTGCCTTGTACTATAGGAGCTGGTTGAGATTGTTAAGGGAAGGAGACAGCTGTGGGAAATGCAATTCGGAACTTTGCTCCCAGCCTACACACTGTCCAGCTGGGACTGTTTTGGATCAGTGCGGCTGCTGTCCTGAATGTGGGAATGTGGAAGGGCAGATCTGTGACTTGGACAAGGTCAGTCATTTCTACGGGCAATGTGGGGAGAACTTGGAGTGCAGGCTGGACACCGACGAACCCAAGTTTGGGGAAGTTCCTGAACCACAATGTGTCTGCAAATCCCAGGAAAGTGTCTGCAGCTCCGAAGGCAAGACCTATGAGAACATTTGCCAGTTCAACGAGGCTTATTCTGAGAAGGAAAGAAATATCAGCATGAAGCACAAAGGGCCGTGTGAATCAGGTAACATACACAGCCATGTATGCCAAGTAAACTGTTCCCTGAAGCACATAGAGAAAGGCGACAAAGATCTGATGTCCATTTCTAGAAATATCTTTTAATGTTTCAGCCTAGTCACAGCAAAATAATACGTCAGCATCATTATAATTCCTGTACTACTTCTTTGGGATTTAAACAAGTAGTTCATCAGCTGGTGTTTAATTGTGTATATTGCAAGCTTGTATATTACCACAGAGGATTTTATATCACATGGTTATTAATGAGGAATGGATCTACAGAGCAAGTGATTTCTGATTATGTGGAATTTGAACTTGTATACTACACAAGTTATATTTTAAGTTATATATGACTATAGTGGAATTAATGTTGCAGAGTCATTGTTAAGTGTGATGTTCAGAGTAACTGAGCAAAAAGTGAAATGTGCAGAGGGCGATGAAAGAGGTACAAACATTTTTGGAATTATTGTTATTTAATGCTTGACCTGATATTACAGAGGTGGAAGCAAAGTAGGTCTCCGATAATACGGTGATGCAGCAAATGAACTGGAATAGAACAGAATAGCATTGAGTGTGGAAATCACTTTTTAAAAGTTCCTTTCTTGGTATAAAGAGTTAAAGATAACATAACTTAGCGGTATTTAAAAGCTCTAAATGCCCATTGACGGTTACAGATCCGCACATTAGAACAGAATCAAGGTGAAATCATTTCCCTAAAGGAGTTTGTATTCATGTTGATTATATAAAATTATTAACTTCATTTCAGTGTGCTAAGGCTTTAAAGTAAATACATTTTTGGTTACATATCTGCATAGATAAGAAATAAGCATTCAAATGCAACTACACTGCATAACAGGATGGGAGGGGAGAGATTGAAGTGGTTATTGTAGTTACTAGCTGTTTTTACAGTCTGGTTTTAATATGATTCATCCTGAGGGTGAATTAGGAACACCATCTCATCTAGCAGATTTCTGAGTGACTTAATGCACAATATGGAGAGGTTCAAATGGTACACACACATCTTTGTAGCTAGACACAAAATGGGAATCAGAATGCACATCCAGAGGGATTGTCTCTATGAGATCTCAAAGTGCACATGTTTGCAGATTATATGCAGAGTTCACACACAACTATGTACACATGCATATACTTATTCCTGGTTAGAAATGTATTGACGCACCACCTCTTATTAGTTGTCTTATATAGTATAAAATGTTGCTCGCCTCACCTTCCTGTATGTGGAAGAATGGCCTCCCACTGTTAACAGCCCCACTGCCCCTTGGGATGCAAAGGATAGCACAGAAGATTAAAATTGCAGTGAAACTACTGTGCTTGAAAGAGGAGATCCAGACTACAGAACTGAGCGGATCCAGAGGTCACACAGGTGGTGGCTCACACGTTGGCTACTGGAAAAGCCTTTGGCACAACAGCCTACAGTCCTCAAGGGACATGTCATGTCCCTGGGGGCTCTCGTCATTGTCAGGAGTGGAGAGGCAAGTTTGAGCCAAATGCAGAAGTGATATTAAAGTGGTGTCCTTTGTTACACACTGTTCCATATATACTTACTCTCGGGGCCCAGGGGAGCAATTGCATGAGGGTGGAGGTTCATTGTCAGGGCAAGGCCCCCCTCCTGGGCAGGTTTGTCCAAACATCTTTCATTGGTGGCCGTGGCTCTCTAAGAAGGCTGCTGGTTGAGGAGCCCAAAATGTTCACTTCCATTGAGTGTCCTGGTCCCACCTTCCCTCCACCCATTTCAATGGCAGGCAGGTCCAACCCCCTGACAGAGTGGGGGTTGGTGTCAGTTTCTGGACACTGTCAGGAGGGGCCAACATGCTGGGAGGAGTGAATTTACATGGAGGAACGTTTCTCTGCAATTCTGCACTGGGTGTGGCATACGCGGAACTAGTCATTTTAAAGAGAGCCTCGGGGGATGGAGGCGATATTCTCCTTCCAATCTACCGGTCAAACTCTGGAGTGGGGACCATGAAGTGCATCTTTAAGAACATAAGAATGGCCGTACTGGGTCAGACCAAAGGTCCATCTAGCCCAGTATCCTGTCTGCCGAATGGCCAGCACCAGGTGCCCCAGAGGGGGTGGACCGAAGACAATGATCAAGCGATTTGTCTCCTGCCATCCCTCTCCAGCCTCTGACAAACAGAGGCCAAGGGCACCATTTCTATCCCCTGGTTAATAGCCTTTTATGGACCTAACCTCCATGAAATTATCTGGTCCTTCTCTGGCCACACCTTCTGTTCCTTAGCTCATCTGCATCTTTTGGTAGCATTCCGTGACTATTTACATCACTCATCTCAATGCTCGGCTCTATTTCATGCACTTCCTTCAACGCCTCTCCTGTCTCCCAGGGATGCCAAAGAGATTAAACTCCTTTCATCACAAGTGCAAACTTTTTATCTTCTGCCTGCCACACCAAAAAAAAAAAAATCAAATCAGTCACATGCTAGAGAAGGGCTTTTTTCCTTCCCCCAAAGGTTGGTTGGATCGGTTTCTATAATAGCTTACCCAGGGTGTTAACTATATTGATAGCTTCCGAGGGGTAGCTGAGTGAGTCTGTACAGGATAAACTTAAAAAACAACAAATAGTCTGCTAGCACTCTGAAGACTAACAAAACATGTCGATGGGATCATGAGCTTTCAAGGGCACATCCAACACTCCGGTCACCTAAAGAAGTGGGTTGTACCCACGAAAGCTCACGATACCATTGACATGTTTTGTTAGTCTTTAAAGTGCTACTAGACTATTTGTTGTTTTTTAACTATATTGATGTCATGCAGATTCTGCACACTTAATTCATCCTCTTTCAAACCTACAGTGCAGTTGATTGCACAAAGCAATAGACACACCCCACAGAATTTCTCTTTGCAGTCAGTAGCACAAAATACCAAAATATTTTAATGGGAATTTAATACTACAGGAGCTTACAAGTAGTTTTCCACTTTGTCTGCATTGTGTCACAAATCAGACTTAAAATAGTAAACATAAATCTCATACCGTTCAGAGAAATACACGGTTTTGTTGGCACCAAATCAACATTCTTTAGTTTGAGTTTGCTGATGGATTGAAAAAAAAACATATCACATCGAAAATTATTTCTGCACATTTTTCAATAGTTGTGGTGTTTATGGATATTTTCTCACATCTGTGGTGGCAGCAAAAGGTGACATATACAGAAGGATAAAATTCATGGTCAAGATTTTCAAAGGAAGCTAATGACTTTGAGCACTCATTCACCCTCTACATCTGGCCCCTTTAAGGGGTCTCAGGTTGGGTACCCACAAATAGAGGCACCCAAATCATTAGCCACTGCTGTAAATCCCGAACCATACCACTAGGACTGAGTGCAAGTGCACTGCCTGGCCCATTAAGAACTTGGAGTCATCTTCCCCATCCCTTAGCATAGGTGATCAGAACAAAGCTTATAAGGGTGGTAGCTGGGAGAAAAATGCTTTTTGGTAGATAGTGTTCCATTGTCAAAACTGGGAGTCACAAGAACTAGGGGTCACCAAATGAAATAAATAGGGAGCAGGTTTAAAACAAAAGGAAGTTTTTCTTCACACAGTGCAGAGTCGACCTGTGGAACTCATTGCTAGAGGACATTGTAAAGACCAGGATTTTAACAGGGTTCAAAAAAGAACTAGATAAATTCATGGACGTTAGGCCCATCAATGGCTATAAGCCAGGATGGATAGGAATGGTGTCCTTAGCTTCAGTTTGTCAGAAGCTGGGAATGGGGTGACACTTGATGATTATCTATACTGTTCATTCTCTCTGGTGCACTTGGCATTGGCCACTGTCAGCAGACAGGATACTGGGCTAGATGGACTTTTGGGCTGACCCACTATGGCCATTCTTATGCTCTTATGAGCCTGGGAGCTTTGCTGTGTTCTCTCTGATTGTGTCGAATGATCTTCCTGATTGGCCTAGGGGTGGGGAAGCGTGCCAAGCCTCTTCCAGGGTATAGATGCCTAGAAGGAAGGGGGGGGGGGGGGGGTAAAGGGGAGTTTGATGTTATCAGCACCTAACTAAATTAATTAGGGACATACCTTCACTGTGGGCTCGATCGATGGGCAGCAATCTATCCAGCAGGGGTCGATTTATCACGTCTATTATAGATGCAATAAATTGACTGCCAAGTGCTCTCCTGTTGACTCAGGTACTCCTCCAAGATGACAAGAGTAGGTGGAGTCATTGGGAGAGTGCTAGCTGTCGACTTACCACTATGAAGATGCAGTAAGTCAATGTAAATCGACTTGAGCTACGTTATTCACATAGCTGAAGTTGTGTAACCTAGTTGAACGGCCCGCAGCAGTATAGACAAGGCCTATATTGGACAGGATGTGCAGACGTTATTGTTTAGAAATCTAGAGCATTGCTGTGACAATTTCAGCAGCTGAAACATTCATTGGCCAGAAGCATATTGACTCAAATATCTCAGACAACAATGTATTTATTATTTACCAAAGCACCCACAAAAAAAATGAAACAGTTAAATCCATACTGGACCCAGTGTCCCAGAAAATAAAAGCAATTTTAAAGAAAGAAAAAGGAGATTGGAAACATGTGTGACTGAAAAAACACGAGTTAGCTGTGGACAAATACATTGGGGAAAAATTCAAATAGAGGGTCAGAAACTAGGCTTCTTATGCTAACAATGGTCATGTTGAGTTTTTTTTCTCTTCTTGTTGGTGTAACACAGGGGTGTCCAAACTTTTTTCAAAGAGGGCCAGATTTGATGAAGTGAACATGCGTGAGGGCCGACCATTTTGCCTGACATTCTTTGAACCATTAAAATTAAATGCAAATTAACTATTTTATGCAAAGTTTATTGCAAACGGCAAACGACATAACACCAACTATACATGTTGTGTCCAAATATATTTATAACTGATTTAGACATTAACTGAGATTTTACAATGTATTCATCTCAATTGAAAAAAAAACTTGCCTAAACTAATGTGAAGGGTGAAACTGAGATCTGGACTGCAGTACATAGGCTAGGTCTGGTTCAAAGGCAGTGGTTTTGATGCGCAAAATATCACGCAGGTGAGAGTCATTTAGTCTTGTCCTCACGCGGTTCTTGTTAAAGTTCATAGCAGAGAATGTCTTCTCACACATATATGTTGAGCCAAACAAGCTCAGCATTTTCTTAGCCAATGTTCGAATCTCTTGAAACCGGCTCTTATCCAGTTGGCGGTAAAAGTTCACAAGAGAGAGCTGTTGGTGACGACTGCGTAACTCGCTGTCACAATGCAGCTCAATGAGCTCGAGCTGCAGCTGATCTGGAGCATCATCGGGGTCAACAGAGAATGGAGAGGAGAAAAGGCTGATCTCCTTTTCAATAGCTGCAAAGTCCTGAAAGCGCCGTTTAAACTCCCCAGCCAGAGATGCAATGTCTGCTGCATACCTGCTCGTTTGCGCACTGATATTGTCCTGTGGAAAACTGTTCATTATTTCCTGCAACGCTGAAAAATGTATGGTATTGGGCTGTGTTTGTGACAACTGCCTTATGAAAAGTTGCAGCTTTGTCAAATCAGATAGCACGTTCAATACATGCACAGTACATGCCTGCATATATTTAGTACATTAAGTAAATGCATTTGTGTAGAGCACTCTGCCTGATGCTTATCTTTTAGCTGTTTGTTTTTTTATTGTGTTCAAACCACTGGATGAGCTCCCTCTTGTGGTTAATGTAAGCATTTTGTTCTTCCAGCTGAACACGTGAAACGCTAGTCTATATATATTAGAGGCAGACAGACAGACATATCGATGCACAGACAGATTCTCTCAAATATTTAGTAGATTTGTGACTGACAGATCAAACGCTGCTCATGCTAAGACCTCAGGCCTCACTGAACACTGACAAATGTATAGTTTGCAGAAAAGTCTGGCTTACCTATGTGTTAGAGTTGTTAAGATAAAAGAGTTGTAAGGCTATGTTTGGTATTTAGACCCTTATGAATTAGCTTGTAGGGTGCTGTTCATATTGCTCTCATTTATAGCCTCTGTAGCCTAGTACAAGTGTTTGCATTGTAAACCTCTGTAAATGTGTAACTCACCAACTGGAAAGAAACCTTAATTAGTGTAAAGTACAGTCCTGCTGACAAGGGAGCCTTTGAAACCAAATGAACAATGACAAGACCTCCAAAGGACAAAGTTGTGTTGGTTGCCTTCCTCACTGGTATGAATCAGGCACAGACACTTGTTCTAGCAGTTTGGATTCTGAGGAGAAGGGGATAAAAAAATTCTGACAGAGGGAAAGAATTGCTAACCAAAGTCCCCCCACTCCAGCTGTTTTGCCTGGGTTAGCAACAAAGGACATATAGGCTACATTTACACTGCAGCGCTATTTCGTGTCTTTGGAGTGCGCCTGTTATTTCAAAATGTAATGGGCTCGCTATTCTTGCGTCCCTGTAAACCTCATTCCACGAGGAGTAATGGACATTTCAGAATAGCAATTTATTTTGAAATAGGTGCTGTATAGCCAGTGCCAAATTTTGAAATAAGCTATTTTGAAATTGACTCGACATAAGCTATGCAATTTGTATAGTTCAAATTGTGTGGCTTATTTTGAGCTTCGGCTGCAGTGTAGACACGTGGAGTCAGCTTATGATAGAAATTTCTATTATCTTTTGAAAGTCATGACGGATAGTTATTTGTGCCGTATTTGTTACCGACTTTAACCTGGTAAATAACTCCCTTATTTCTTCTCTTAGTTCATAAATCTGTCGTAAGTTTATTACAGGTGTGGCTACAGAGTTAAGTGACTGGTCTTTTGGGGCCAGGAGTAACCTGAATATAGTTGTGATATTTGGTGCAAGTGACCATCTACCGTCCATCTTGCCTGGGTGGCAAGACAGACAGACAGACAGTCCCCTTGGGCATTCCATGCTAAGACAGGTATACTGCTTTAGGAGTTCACACTGGCTACGGGGCAAAACACAATGATCGAATGTACAATCAGTATGGGGTCTTCGCCCTCTTTCTTCACACGCTTCCCTGGGGCAGGCACTCACAGTTGTGAGCCTCTCTGGACTGCATAACAATACTTTTTGTCATGCTCCCTGCTCGTAAAGGCAGTTGGATTGAACCATGACTATCTATCCTGATCTTTTCATATTGGTTCCTTGCAGCTCCTGTCATTTCTTTGGCACCTCAGGATGCTCAGAATTTCACAGGTAACGACATCATCTTTGGCTGTGAGGTGTCTGCCTATCCTACGCCACACCTTGAGTGGAAGAAAAAAGGGAACAAAATGTTTCTGCCAGGAGATGATGCCCACATCTCAATCCAGGTAGGTTATGCTTATTCCACAGGTCATAGTTTATACTACTGAGCGGAGGGGGGAGGGGATGAAGGGTTAAGACCACTCTCTTGTTTTTACAACTTTTCTCCTGTTGGAGACACAAGGTGGGTGAGATAATATGGTTTATTGGCCCAGCTTCCCTAGTTCATAGAATCATAGGACTGGAAGGGACCTTGAGAGGTCATCGAGTCCAGCCCCCCGCCCTCAAGGCAGGACCAAGCTCCGTCTACACCATCCCTGACAGATGTCTATCTAACCTGTTCTTAAATATCTCCAGAGAGGGAGATTCCACCACCTCCCTTGGCAATTTATTCCAATATTTGACCACCCTGACAGTTAGGAATTTTTTCCTAATGTCCAATCTAAACCTCCCCTGCTGCACTTTAAGCCCATTACTCCTTGTCCTGTCCTCAGAAACCAAGAGGAACAAATTTTCTCCTTCCTCCTTGTGACACCCTTTTAGTTGAGAGAGACGGGGTTCACTGCTTAGACTAGTTTCTCTGCATGTGGTTTAGAAAGCCTGACCTACGAGGATAGATTAAAAACCTGGGTGAGTTTAGTCTTAAGAACAGATGATTGAGTGAGAAACCTGACAAGCCTAGAAATGCTTTAAGGGCTGTTGTAAAGTGGATGGTAATTGCTCTTCAGGTCCACTGGAGGTAGAACAAAAAGTAACAGGCTTAACCAGCAGCAAGGTAGAGTTAAGTTAAATAATAGGAAAAGCTTTCTTCTTATAAGAATGGTCCATGGAGCAGGCTTCTGTGGGAAGTTGTGGAATCCTCCTCACTGGAAGTTTTTAAGAACAGGTTAGCCCGCCAGTTCCCAGGGATGGTCTAGGTAGACTTGGCCCTGACTCAGCACCAGGAGCTGAACTCAATGGCTTCTCAAAGTCCCTCCCAGCTCCACCTGTTCACCGTTCTATGAAGGTCACTAAGGATGAGTCTAAACTACATGGCTCTGTTGATGGAGCCATGTAGATTAGGCTGATCAGCAAAGGGAAATGAAGCCGTGATTTAAGTAATAGCGGCTTCATTTAAATGTAAATGGCTGCCAATTTAAATAATCACCTCTTTATTTAAATTTAAATGGCTGCTGCGCTGAGCCAACAAACAGCTGATCAGCTGTTTGTCGCCTCAGCGCGCTAGTCTGCACGCTCCCGCACTGACCTGAAAGCCCTTTATCGACCTCCCCGTTATGCCTCGAAGGATGAGCTTTACCGGGGAGGTCGATAAAGGGCTTTCATGTCGACAGGGGAGGTCCAGACTGCCCCGATCTGCCGACAAACAGCTGATCGGCAGAGCGGGGCAGCCATTTAAATTTAAATGAAGCCGCGATTATTTAAATCATGGCTCCATTTCCCTTTGCCGATCAGCCTAATCTACATGGCACTCAGAAGCCAGCTGGTCCAGCCCAGCGGGAAGGGAAGGGCCCCTCCTCTAAAGACTAAGACACCACGGATGGGGGGGGGGGGCAGTACCCCCTGGAGAATGAAGGTAGGGTTGGGCCAGCAGGCCACTCCAGAAGTCAGACATCTAAAGGCCGTCATTTCCACCCTCCTTTCCCTTCACCCCCAGAAGCCTTATAAGGATGAGAGTTAGGGCCAGGAAAGTGCATGGAGAAGTGGACATCTGGAGAAAAAGCAGAGTCAGGCGGGAGGCTGGAGAGCTAGAGTCAGGAGGGGGTCAGGGCTGAGTGTTGGAGATGTTTGGGGAAGTGGGCAGGGGCTGGGCAGCATGATTTGAGGAGGCACAGGGCAGCAAAGGGGAGGGCAGGCAAGCGTAAATACAGCCTGTCGATCCAGGGGCAGTGGCAGTATTCAGTGATTGAGAGCAGAATTTGGCCCCAAACATAATCCAGACAATTACCCTTTTGAAAAGCGTCCTTGTCTCTGGTGTCGGCTAAGTCTTGACGGCATGTCTGCCTTCCCTCAGGCAAGAGGCGGACCTCAGAAGTACGGTGTGACAGGATGGCTGCAAATTGAAGGCATCAGGAAATCGGACGAAGGCATCTACATCTGCCAAACGAAAAACAAGTTCGGCACGGCACATGCATCTGCAAGACTGAAAGTCATTGACGGTAAAGTGTTTTCTCTTTTGGTTTTCAGCATTAGGTTTCAGCATTTAGAACCCAGGTTTCAAATGTGCCTGCCTCACCTGGAAATGCAAATCCTCTGTGATGCTCAGGTTCATACAGCAGACACCTATCAAAAGGTGTGGAGCTATCAGGGGCTGAGTACCCTCAATTCCCACAGATGCCACCCGGCAGCGTTCGACCCCTAGGTGCTAAGGTGAGTGTCGAAATGTAGGATATGAATGGTCTATGAGAAGCCCGCCAGTGAAAACTGAGCTCTGTCCCACTCTATCCTTACCCTCGAGAGAGGATTGGCTCTAGGTATTTTTAGTCAAAAGCACACATGAACTTCAGTAAACAAAAATAGACAAACTGGTTAATATCATGAGTCTGTTTGCTTCGATTTTCATCTTTTTCCAACTGACATACACAGTGGGTCACAGCTGTAATGCTCACAAGACACACACTATTTTGCAGTACTTTATACAACCCCCCTTTGGTATCAGGTAGACTTCCATACCAGAACCATAGCTCCATGTGGCTTAAGAAGTTCTTAGAGCTTCAGCAATTCCACTTAATTATGTTGTGAAAAATTAGGAATTGCTTTTGAAAAGGGTATTTAGAAACACGCATGAAGTAACTTTTAGGATTCATTTTCAATTGGGCCCAGTCCTGCAGACTAGCGTTTTTGTCGCTAAAGAGAATTGTGCTTGCATTGCATGGGTAGGACTCGGAGCAAGTTACAGCGTTCATATTTCCCTCGTATAAGCCTTTTATCAAACACTGAGTGTGACTACAATGGTAATTTGATGTGCAGAGCACTTGCAGGATCAAATTCATAGTTTACTTGTGTTCAGAATAAAGTTAAAATAGGTGTGTTCTCAAAATTTGGAAATTGGGGAGAGAGAGAGAGAGAGATTGGGCAAAGCACCCATTGACTTCAATGGTACAGGAGCAAGCCATCAGATATTGCCTCTTTCTCTTCAAAACAGAACTTATTCAGCCATTAACAAGTATGTGTAGCTCACTGTTGAATTTGAAAATCTTGTTCTCTTTCCTCTTAGTTCTTGTTTTGTGTGTGTGGAGACCAATTTTATGTCTTGCTGTGTAGATGCGTCCTCTACATTTCAGCTTTCTGCTGGCAGCAGAAGTACAAGCTACACGGCAGATCATGGAGACTACGATGACTATGCTGAAGATGACGAGGAAGATGAATATGAATCTGGGGACTATGAGAAATAAGTTCCTGTGGTTGTCTAGACATAAGGGGCCAATATGCTTCCCTTTCAGCTGCATTTACTAGTATGATCTGTGCTGTTAAGAATCCCTTCCTTCCCCTACTTTATATACCACTCTTCTGAAATTTGCAGGGTGTGCTCAGTCATTTGGTCAAATGGTTGTGTATTACATATCATTAATAATGGTCAGATAGACATCAGCTATCAAACTATTGAACACAATGGGACTGCCTATTAAGTATTTCAGAAAAAACCATCTCCGGTTTAATTTAATAAAATGGTGAAGTCATAATTTAGAACATTAAGATTGGATTAACAAAATCAATTCT